GATATTTGGAACAACCTACCTGCTGAGTTCCTTCAAAAACTCTGTGCAAGTGTACCTAGAAGGATTGATGCTGTTTTGTAGGTAAAGGGTGGTCACGCCAAATATTGATTTGATTTGTGTTTTTCTTTTGTTTGCTCATTTTGTAAATTGATAAACATTAACAATTACAATATATATTTTTGAAAACATTCTTACTTTACAGCATTTTTTCACACCTGCCTAAAACTTTTGCACAGTACTGTATCTAATAAGCTTTAATGTGTTTTCTGAATCAAAATTCAATGTTACATGAATATTAGAATACAAAAAAGCTTCCCCCTTCACAAATAATTTTAATTGGCTGACTGCTGCTTACATTTATAAGAACTGCCACCCCAAATACTGAAATGTCTTAAACTGAAAAGCTAGAACTATGGATCAGAACTTGCTCATATATCTAAGTATTCAGTCTATTTTCTCCCCTGGATCTGCATGTTGATATTCAGTTGACTTACAAGATCAGAGACAGAGTGGTGCAAACTATACAGCTAAAATACAGTCTTAATGCAAACAGTAACAGTAGCTGCATCATAAATGAGTTTAAGTCTATGAAATAAAAGGATTTGGAAATAACTTCAGAACTTTCTGTGGCAATTTAACTTCCAGTAGAAAATGCTGAAAATCTTTAAGGTACAAGAAATCAGAAGCACTTTTAATTTAATCATTTGTTTCTATCCTGCCTCTTAATGAAAGAAACTCAAAACAGACCTAAAAATGTAATACAGGACCAAGTAAACAAATATCACGATGCAACCAATGTTGATGGCAAGCTGCTTATTTTCCGTGGCATTCAGAGGAAGTGAAGAAAGAGAAACCCAAAGCCATTAGCAATTATAGCAGGGATCATGGTCACCTCTGAATCATGCTCTTTTGTTTTATTGCAGGCTCATTAAGTTAAAAAAAAAAAATCCTTGTAGTTTCAATACTGTCAATGTGTTAAGCCCTAGGAAAATGTTTTCTGTTTCATCAAAATGATGGAAGAGATTTGCTTCCTTTGATAATATCTCAGCGTATGAGCATTTTTTAAGTTATACAGTAAAGACCATCTTTTTTCAGGCTGGTTTTTACAGTTTATATTAAATCCACTCAGAGAAAATTAAGCTGCAGTGTGTTTT